GACCGGTCATCAAATGCAACATCAGCTCAATTGGTGAGAAATCTGTGGTTGGGGGCAGCTATCTCCAGGTACGTTGTTCCCTTGCCTTATCTACTCTCTCAATCTCTTCTTACCGTGAGGAAGTGAGTCCAACTTGAGAGTCCTCTCTTTTGGTGAGGTGTCGTGAGCGCACTACCTTGAGAGACGACAATCTTCCCGGAAGCATACTGGAAGGAGAAAGGGCGGTGCCTCTGAAGGGCCCTGGTCGAAGCACTTGGGTCATGGTCACCGTGCCAACCCACAGGGAGTAGTACACGCATGCGATGGCTGCTGTCCTGTTTGGCACTTGCTGCGCTGATAGAAGTTGCTCCGGGTATGCCAGCCCATGACAGACGCTTACCAGACCGTCTATAAATATTTCTGGTTGGGAGTTCATTGTGAATCTGGCTGTGATCGTCGTCCTGACTGCGACGTTAAATAATTCCTGAAGAGATGGGGGCGCTCTATAAATTCCTCCTGATCAGCCAGATCACATGGACAGGAAGGCTCGTCGCCGTACGAGGGTAAATAAGAGTGGTTGGGCTGGCTTGCTCGGTGACAACTTGGGCACAGGGGTGGGCCGAAATGCACACGAAGACACTGCCTGCTCAAAGATGCTGTTCGGATGGTTGGATTGAGGGGAGGGTAGGTTCCAATTGGTGCTCAACTGTTTACACAACCATACCCATCAATCATACATCTGCTACATTGTCTTTTGTACCTTTGATTAGTTGGTTGACGGACTGCTAACCTCACAGACAGATTAGTGTAGGACTGTTGTATGCTACCATAGCCAGTTCTAACTAATGCTGCTGTAAGTGAACCAATCAGGGTTCATCTAGACTATGTAGACAATCTGTGTGAATGTTGTAGACATGCCACTTGATTCGGTATAGTAGGRTACTCGCCGGACACAACTATTGTTAGAAAATTAGGTGTCGGTCAGATACATGCTGTGGTAGGATTCCACTAGGGGATTCTAGTGCAGAAACTATCTGCCTAACTAATGAGTGGATCAGATCCTGCTGATGATAGAGCAGACAATAGAAGACTTACACGTGCAGATGCACTAAGGGTTCCGCACGTGTTCAGGACCTTGGACGAGGGAGAAGAAAGACGACTTTGTGCCGAACGTAGAGCCCGTGCTCTAGCAGCAGGACTACAGGAAGCAAACAGAGTAGCAAGAGAGCGGGCAACAGCAGCCAGAGCAACAGCAATGGCTAACGGTACCAGCTCTGCTGCGTCATCATCTGCGTCCTCGTCAGGGAATAGTGGGACTCAGTTGGGAATGCCAACGAGTTCCACGAGTTCCTCGGGCACTTCCAGTTCAACAGGGTCTAGACAGTCTTCCAGTCAAATGGTGGGTTTGCAGTTCAGCCCGTTGACCCCGTGTGAGAGGGAGCTCAGAGAGATCCAACAGGTCGAGAGGCTCCGCCAGCAGTTAGAGGAGGATCTGAAGAAAGCAACCGATAGAGAAAAAGAGATAAAAAGTAGAGCAGCCAGACTTGATACGTTAGAAGCTGACAAGGCTGCGTTAGAGGGATTGGACGAATCAAGTTTATCTGACCCCCTGAAAGTGTTGAGGGACAACATGTTGTCACTGCATGCGCACGTGGACAGCAGGATGGACTTCATGCAAAGCACTTTGGACCAGATCCTGGATGCATTGACAAAGCCAGGATTCCGGCCACCAGCACAATCGCCATTGCTGTTAACCGCAGCAGCACAAGCTGGCACACAACCAAGTGGCACATCCGCCGCAGCAGCACAGACTATTGCATATTCTTCTTCGGGTCCAGTGGTGATTGCTACATCACCACAACAACCTGTTCAGTCAACTGGACAGCCGCAAGGTCAATGGTATCCAAAGACCCCAATGAAACCACCTCTTGCCTTCTCAGGCGAGAGAAAGGACGAGGAACTCAACACATGGTTGAGGACAGTCCCGGTTTGGGTGAAGGCCAAGAGGACCTTGCCTGAGGACGAAGTGGTAACTGCGGCGTCTTACCTTGAGGGTAAGGCAGCCAAGTGGTTAGATGGTGTAGTTGTGAAGGCCGGGTACGGGAGACGCATGGCGGATTGGGCTAAGTCTTTGACTTTAGACCAATTCATGGAGATGGTAGAAGCTCGATGCATAACCCACAGGAAGCTCAAAGGGCCACTGATGCCATTAACAAGCTGGACCAACGCAAGTTCAGGTCAGTTAGGGAGCTTACGACTACCGTTGAGAGCCTGATCCTCGTCCCAGGTATTAACTACAGCGACCAGTTCCTCTTGACTACGTTTGTCAGATGTCTCCCAGAGAACATCAGGAACTTACTAGTCAGTGAGGCACGTACCGAGTACCACTCATTTGAGACATTGTCTAGGAAGGCTTTAGATTTGGAGGCCACGTTAGGCAATGCTCAACCCACCTCATGAAATGACTCAAAGAAGAAGAAGAGTCCTCACGAGTGGAAGAAGAAGGGGGCGAAGTTGATGATGGTGTCTGATGGGACTCAAACAGAAATCGACGAGCTCTCTGACCTGGTGGACTACTCAGAGTATGACGGCGAGGAGGTAGCTGAGGGTAGCACACTCGCCGCGGTAGTAAAGACTAAGGCAGGTGGCTGAGGGAAGGGCCAACCTAGGAGTCAAGGGAAGGCCGCCTCCAATCAGACCAAACAGGTTGAGTGGGTAAAGGCAGGTCTTGATCAGGACGTGTGGCGTGACCGCCGAATGTGTGGCGCTTGCATCAACTGCGAAGAATATGGACACACGCAGTGGAAGTGTCAGAACGCTAAGGTTACGCAAAAGGTTGCTCCAAAAGTGGGGACAACATATTCCCAGGCTTCTAGCTCGGGAAACGCGTAGGGCCAGTCGAAGTAGTAGTGGTTTTTACTCAAGATGAAGTGGGAATGATACCCTCCTCACTTCATGACAAGGCCGAAGCTAATGACTCCTTAGTCACCCCGCAGACACAACTAGACCAAACTATGCTCTGTACGTTAGATGTGTCTAAGGCCTTAGAAGACTCTGAAGGCGAGTGGTCAAACAAGGACCCTCACGAGTTTTGGGTGGCGCTAAAGAAGGGTCCTAGAGGGGAACATTTCGTGGTGGAAGTGGATGTAGGAGGCCGCAAATGTGGAGCCTTCATAGACAACGGATCCACGCGAAATTACATAAGTCGCGATTGTTTGGAAAGGCTGCACCTACAGGACCGGGTACGGCACCTTAGTAGACCAGTAGCATCTACTTTGGCCAACAAAGAGCGCATGATTGTCACAGACTACATCAAGGACATAGTTTGTACCTTCTCCAATGGAGGAGGAGAGCTTAACCATAAGATCTCGTTCTTGGTTAGCGACGACTTGCCATTCGAAATGTTGTTAGGCATGTACTACCTTGAAGTTGCTAAGCCCCAGTTCGACTGGGATAAGAAGGTGCTCAAGCAAAAGTTGCCCGATGGCCGAACCGTCAGATTGACTAAGTTCAAGGCCAGCCGTATTGTAGATACCTATGGTTGCTTGTGTGCATCAGCATTCTACAACTATTACAAGCAAAACAAAGAGGAGGGTATGTACCTTGTTTATGTCTCTGAGAAGGGGGAGGCCGTTAAATCACCCCCAGAGATAGAACGCGTCGTTGCTAAGTTCCCTGATCTGTTCGAGGAGCCCACAGGAGTTGTTGATAGGGAAGTCGTCCACGCTATAGAAATCATTCCAGGGAGTAAAACCCCAAAGGGGAGGATCTATAGGATGGCCCCTGCCGAGTTAGATGAACTTCGGAAGCAACTCAAGGAGCTGACAGAGAAGGGATGGATTCGGCCTAGTACTTCCCCTTACGGATCACCCGTGCTATTCGTACCGAAGAAGGGGGGTACTTTGAGGATGTGCATTGATTATAGGGGCCTCAATGTCATCACGGTGAAAAACGCAGAGCCTCTACCTCGCATAGACGACCTACTGGATAGGCTGCAGGGATGCAAGTACTATACAAAGATAGACTTGAAATCTGGATATCACCAGATCGCAATAAGACCTGAGGACCAACACAAGATAGCTTTTCAAACTCGTTATGGTCTGTATGAGTTTGTAGTGATGCCTTTTGGTCTTTGCAATGCGCCGGGTACATTCCAGCACGCTATGAATCGGATCTTCCATGACCATTTAGATAAGTTTGTCGTAGTCTATCTAGACGACATTCTGATCTTTAGTAAGTCTGTCGAGGAGCACGCACAGCATGTTGAGACAGTACTCTCACTCCTACGACAGCACAAGTATAAGGTCAACTTAGAGAAGTGCGAGTTTGGCCGCACTAAGATACTATACTTGGGTCACGAAGTATCCGCGGAAGGGATTAGGCCGGAAGATGCGAAGGTGGCTAGTATTCGAGACTGGCCACGACCTCAGACAGTCACTGAGGTCAGATCATTCTTAGGAATGTGTGGCTACAATAGGAACTTCGTCTTTTGGGAAGGTTCTTCTATCTGAGGACTGATCATCAGACCCTCAAATGGATCAAGACTCAACCGGCTCTTTCTGATGCACTCAAGCGATGGATTGAGGTCATAG